CACCCCCACCCCCACCCCCTGTCTGGGATCCCTTTAAGGGGAGAGCATGCCCCAGCAGCTGGGTCTTAGTGAAGAGGACAGGTTAGGGTCACCGTTGCCTGGAGACAGCGTGGCTCCTGGTTGCCTGGATACGGCTGGAGGCCTGGCACTGAGCGTTGGGAGCCGCGGCCAGCTCCAAGGAGGGCAGCTCCTGCAAGGCCATGTCCACACGCCACAGAGAGAAGGAGGCCTTAGATGAGGTCCACCACAACCAGATCTTGCGGGAATTGTACCTCAAAGAGCTGCGAGCCCAGAAACTGTACACGCAGTATCATGTGAACCCCCTGCGCAAGGGTAAGGGCACTGCTGGATACTGGAGGGGCAGAGAGGGGAGGAAGGAGTCGGGGAGTGGACAGAGCAATGGGGGGGCCTTCCTGAACTCGGCCCCTTTGTAGGTGTCAGGCTTTGTAGACTTTGGGGGTGGGAGTGACTCTCACCCCACATCAGATCAATATATTAAATACAAAATGCACCTATCATACAATAAAATTCTACTTTAGTTACACTTATATTGCATTTCTGATTTTACCTTAAAATTATATTTTGCAGGATTTTGTGTTTTGTTTTTATTTTAAAGATTGGATTTATTTATGCATGTAAGAACTGGGTTGTAGGCCAGTGGGGGGGGATGTGAGGGGCATGGAGGTGAGAGGATTCACCAGAGACAGAGTGGGGAGCAGAACAGGCAGATGGACTGAAATACACTGCTGAGGGGAGCAGCGGGCAGAGCTGGAGAGGTCTCCTGCACCTGTGGGTCAGCTCCCTGGGCTGTGAACTCAGCACAGCAGCTGGAGATAGTGGTTAGCTCTGAGACTTTAACCCCTGTGCCACCAGGGAGGCCCATGTTCTGCTGTTTGGGGGAGGGGTTGTTGTTCCATTTTTCTAAAATTGTGTTCAACCTTTGGAAAGGCGCTGGGCAGCATGGACACCCAGCCAGTAGCGCCCCAGATCAAATGACTCTGTCCTACACGCTTCTCACTTTGCACTTTTTCATGGGCAGTTACATCCAGGTCCTGTAACACCAACTCCCCCCAGTGCCTCTGAGTCTCAAATGGATTCCCAGACTGTGTGCCCTAGTGCCTCCCAGATCCTGCCCCTACACAACCATAGGTCCCTGAGAATTCCTGACACCTGGTGCACCCAAGCACCATTCCCCCAGCTGCTACTCCACAATATCCTTCCAGCAAAGGTACCCAAACCACTTTCACTCCCCGGCTGAAAGTCATCCTCAGTCTCCCTCACCCCAGACCCCTCCGCAGTCACAGTGCTGCTTACTCCTTAAACTTTCTCTCCCCTGCGTTCCTACCTCAGCAGAAGACAGCCACACCCGTGTGGAGGCATCTAGGTCTGCTCCCCTTTTTCCTCCAAGCCCCCTCCAAGCTCTCCCCTACGCTGCTTGGCAAGAGTTAGATTTGATCACAGTCCCTCCGGAAGTGCTTCAGTGCTGGCACTGATACCCATCAGTGCGCGGGGCCTGTGGGTCTGGCTTCCCGGAGACCCACCTTCAGCTTCAGTCTGGTCCTCCCACGCTCACTCACTGTACTTCTAACATATTTTAGTGCCTGCTCTGCAGTGCCCCCATCTTCCTTCTCCCCCTCCAGTCCCAAATCAGGATTTCCTAGCCACCTGGCGCCCTTTCCACCTCTTTCCCTTTATAAAATGTTCCTTCCCCCTGAACTTCCCAGACTCCTGGGTCACTAGCAACAGTCCTCTGCATCCCAGCTATGTGGAGAAAATGTCTTTTACTTTTTAAATAAACATATATTCAAGACGAACAGCGTGGCTCTGATTTACCTGTACACAGGAATTGATTATGATAAGCTAATTAGCATATCTACCTCCTTATGTATTTATAGTATTTGAGTGCAAGTGTGTGTGTAGAGAGAGCACTTCCACTCTGCTTATAACTAACCTGCTTTTCCTTTGGAACCCCCAACTACTAATTTCAGGAAAGCAAAGTAATGTCCAATTCAGTTTAAACTGACTCCATTCTGACCATTTCATCCCTCACTCAGTGAGCATCAGGCTTTTTAGGAAAAATGCTGGGGTCCTAGCTCACGTCCGCTGGGCATGTGGTTAGTATGATTCATCCGGGTAAAGTGAGGAAATACTAAAACTTGTATATATGTTTACTTTTATGTATGAAGAAATTGTGCTGTGCTAATATACCACTAATAGTCTATGAAGACATAAGTGTACACACACTGGATGCATGTGCAGAAGTATTTCACTGGTCGGAGCTAAAGATAAAAAACACTGGGGACTATTGGCTTCTCCTGGCCTCTGTTCCTCTACCACTGTCCAGCTAGGGCCTTCCCCTGTGTGCCTTTGACCTTCTTGATGTTTCTCAAACTCAGTAAGCTCATGCTTGGATTCTTCCCACCTCCACTCCTCCTCACCTGACCCAGGACTCTGCTCCAATGTATCCCTGTAAGACACCCCACCCCTCAATGCTCCACCCACCTACCTATTGGATCCTTCTGCACTTCTACTGCCTGTTGCTATCTCTCTGCATATTGTCTGTCACCACAGCGGATGGAAGCCCCACTTGGAAGCAACAGTATGGCAGAACGGGTGGCTGTGGGCCTTGCCCTCTGTGTTCACATGGTCTTCTGGTCCATGCCACAGTTATGTCTGCATCCCTGAAGGGTACAGCTGTCCTGGACCATGTCCCACACTGTGAAAATGTCCTGTGTCCGTGCTGCCCAAGTGATAGGCAGTAGCTGCCAGTGGCTGTTGAGCACCTAAATGTGGCTGTGACCGAGGAATGGATTTTTGATTGTAACTCACGTTAATCAGTTACATTCCAATAGCCACATGTGGCTGGTCACCACACTATTGGACACTTGCTACTACCCATTGGAAGGTCCTCAAGAGCCATGTTTGTTTCTTAAGGCCCAGCACAATGCCTGGCATGTGGCAGGCACTCAGCAAAGGCAGGTCTCGTTGAGGGAAGGAGTTAGCTCTAACATGAACCTGTGATGCTGTTTTTCTCTAGTTCATACAATTACCAGGAAACCCATGTCTTGGCATGATAATCTGGAGGAGGCTGAAGATGGTAAGTACTGGATTTGGCAGTACTGTTGAGATAGAGCACAGGGAGGTAGCTGAGGGGAGACCCCCTCGGGGGACCTTGGGGCAAGCATCAGCCCTCTGCTTTGGTCACCTGAAAACAGGACTCATACCAACAAGACCCAGACTCACAAGAGGTGATTCAACCATATTCAACTGTACCGCCAGTTTATGAACTGTCAACCCAACAGAAATCTTCCTAAAGGCCTTAGTGTAGTAAATATAACCCCGAGGGGCAAAATAAGACAATATCAGGGCTTACATTTGTTAACCCCTATGTATAAAGAATTATATGGCATTCATTCATTCATCAGACATTCAGCTGTTATAGCACAGGTTGTAGGGTCATATCAAGTTCAATTTCTGGTTTGGGCTATTAATTTTATTTATTT